TCTGCCTTCACTTGAATAAAACCTGCAGTATATGCAACCATTTCCATTACATTTATTTGGCAAGTAAAAGGATTGATACAGAATGAAAAAATTGGCTCAATATGAGTAAACTACTAAAATATCTCTTTAAATTGTTTTTAAGCATTTGAAGGTGCTTAATGAATAATTACCGGTTTATTATTGTTATCTGCCATTTTCAACATATATGGGAAATGCAAAAGACACTTGATCTGCAGGTGTAATTTCAACGAATCCAATTTTGCTTTAACTAATTTTACAGAGCATATCATTTCAGCTATATTTTTGTCTCCAATTTGCAGAATTCAATTTTTCCAAGATGTCTGTGAGAAACCCAAATCAATCCTAATTTTCCTTTTTATTGTTTATAAATATTTTTATTACTTCAATTAAGTTTTCAAATCTTGTAAGAACTTTTCCTTCACTAAGCCCCAACAATCTTCAGTTTGTTAGGGCTTAGGTAAGGAAAAAATTTTTTTTTTTTTTTTATCTTCTTTATCTTCAATATTTTCTAACAGGGTCTTAAAAAGTTGGTGTTGCCAACTTTTTAAGTCCCTGTTAATTTTGTAAAAATAGTTGATTATTTTCATGACCTGTTCAAATGGTAATATTTTACAACTCAGAGCTTCCTGATGGTTAATAAAGTAGTAGTACATAAAATTTGAAAATGATTCAACTTTCATTCTGAAGAATAAGTTCTTTATTTTTGCCTACCATTGCTAGCACTTCATTGGTGGTTATTGTTGACAGCTTGTGCAAACAATGTATCATGAATATCCTCACTCCTTTTCTTTTATAGGTAATTTTTGTAAGATATCTTCTTTTACTGTGAAGTTACTAAATACCATTCTCATCATAACTGCTGACTGTGCGATATTTGATATATCTGCTGATTCATCAAATTTTTGCAAGAAACAGTCACATATTTCCATATCAGTCTCTAACTGAGTTTGTATGTCTGATGAAATTTCATGTTTTCTTTTTATGGCGGTGATACTTGACATTAGTAGGTCTTGTTTTGCTGAGATAATCTATGTTTGTAAGAAAATCCCTCAAACAATTTAGTACAAAAATGATCAGAGAGAAATATTATTTATTTAAAAGCAATATCATAAAGATAAGAATTTCATTAAGAAGAATGAGAACAAAGAGAGAGATTAATTGTAGAGATTAAAAGAGAGAGATTAGATTGTAGCAAATTGTAGAGATTAATTGTAGAGATTAAAAAAATGATCAGAGGACTCAATCCTGAATTATCCTGAATACCCAGGTTAAGCATGTGACTATTGGAGTTTTTGTAAATCAAAGGATAATAGCCTTGTACAGTAAGATTTGAAATAATGCCTTATAATAATATTTAAATTAGTGTGACAAATAATATTTAAATAATATTTAAATATTATTTAAATAATATTTAAATATTATTTAAATAATATTTAAATATTATTTAAATAATATTTAAATATTATTTAAATATTATTTAAATAATATTTAAATAGTGTGACAAAGAGACAAAGTAGGTCTAATGAATTGATTAGATTGGATGAATTTATTAGATGAAATGATTAGATTGATTGGATTGATTGAATGAAATCAATCCAATTATTGTTAAAAATGTTACTGAAATAATAAGGTGTTGGTAATGGCTTTTTACTTCTAAAATGGTACTTTAGTCTTTTTTAAGTTATCAAAAAACTTCATTATAGATTATGCATGGCACCCCAAGTAATAAGCTAGTGACTTGGCTAAAATAAAACCTAGTTGGCCATGTGATTTGGCTAAAATAAAACCTAGGTGACATTATAAAGTAAAACACATAAACATACTTTTCTATTATAATAATAAATATGATATTATAATAAAAAGGTTTATTCATTTGGTGTTATAATATAAAGGTTTGTTTTAATTATATATTTTCCTTTATAATAAAAATTTTATAATAAAAAGATTTTTTCATATGTTCTTATAAAAAGGTTTGTTCTTATGATGTTATAATATAAAGATTTGTTCATAATATAAAAGTTTTTTGTTTTTTGTGTATGGTAAACAAAAAAATTATATATATATATATATATATATATATATATATATATATATATATATATATATATATATATATATATATATATACATATATATATATATATATATATATATATATATACATATATATATATATATATATATATATATATATATATATATATATATATATGTATATATATATATATATATATATATATATATATATATATATATATATATATATATATATATATATATATATATATATCATATATATATATATATATATATATATATATATATATATATATATATATATATATATATATATATATATATTTAATATATAATTTTTTACTATAATAAACAAGAGTAATTTATAGAAATGTTGTCACGACAACACATAGCATTTATTTAAATTTAAAAATTACTAAAAACCCAAAATCTTGTTACTCAGTACTTGAACTATACAGTTACCTCAGTCAACTATCTCAAGTAAAGCTATGTGTTTTAAACAGTCAGCTGTATATCTCAAGTAAAGCTATGTATTTTAAACAGTAATACAGGGATATTCTGTGTTGATACATATGTCAGAGTTAACTTCTAGCTCTTTTCAAGAAAAGCAAAGCCTACAAGGCAGCAGGGCATGGGGCAGGTAGTGTTGGATTACATGTTACCACTAGCAGGGGAATTATGATGATCCTAAACCTGGCTCAAAGCATATTTTACTGGATGTAATTTCAAATAACTTGTTTAATGTCAAGTAACTTGTTTAATGATCTTTGTTGTTTCTTATATAGTCAAAAAGTTGATTATTTCTATATTGTCATACTTGTATGAAGTTTAAACTTGTAATATAAAAATGAAAAACACTTAAATTAACACAGTTAAAAATGTTATGTGAAATATAATTGTATGACAAATATTCTAAGACTTTAAAAAGTAGCACTAATTGATATTAGATAAACTAGTTAATCAGTTAATTGTGCATAAAAAAAGTACCAAATACCAAGGACTTTGAAAAGACATATAAAAGATAAATAAATGACAAAAAAGGAGTTGGAAGTGCAACGACAAAAAACAAGGAGAAATTAACAGCTAATTGGCTTATAAGTTAACAGTCGATTGGCTTATAAATTTGATCATCCAATAACACAGGAGGAGTTGATAAAAACAGTGGCTAAAATAAAGATGCTAAAAAGTTGCAGTTCATCACCTAAATTCAAAATGGGCTATCATATTACATTCAGTATTAAAAACTTTTTAGTCTGTAACAGCAAGGTAAAATTTTATTCAACTCGTTACTCCACACAGCAACCTTGTTTGTCAAGCTTTGTGTTTTGGAGTTGAAGAGTTGAGAAAAAGTTGTAATCACAATAAAAGTAGCCTCCTCTTTGAAGTGGCCTTCTTGGTCTTGGGGAGCTGAATTACCATTTAAAAAGTGATAAAATTTATTGTTTATCCTACTAAAAAATATTAAAAAAAAAAGTTATTTATTTTTTTGTTGTTGCTAACACAGTAACACTCTATCTTGGTTAAACTTTGTCATCAGTGAATTTGAAACATTTCACAAAGTGAGCACTTTAACACAACAAAGACGATACCTCTATTTTATAATTAATTTTATGTTATCAGTGTATGTACATGTAAATTTGTGTCATATGTGTCAATATGTAAATTTGTTTCAGTTGACAATTTATTTATTAAAAATATACTTTTTATTTATTTTATTATGTCGAGGCTTAATTGATTTTAGGTGACTTTTTATACTTTTACTTTTTTTATTTGATGTTTCAATGCATTTACACAAGTCTTTAAATACGTTCAACCAAATATGTTGTTAAAATTCCAACATCTTCCTCAATGCATACTATTTACACCTTGTACTTTTTGAATCCACTATTTATTTTTCCAATATAAATGTCACATTATTATATGATATTGAAGATTAATTCAGCTATTATTTTGAGCTATTATAAGTGGCCAAATACATTGTCATTGTCAAACATCTTGATAAAATATTGTAGATATATTCAGGGATTATCTTTTTCCGGATATTTCCAGAATTCCAGATATTTTTCTCAACTTTTAGTTTTTCCGGATATCCAAAACGTTTTTCCTACATAAAAGCTTAGGCGTATATTTTTGTAATATAATTGCTTTGTATGCTTTTTCACTCATCACTCATACAAAAATTATAAAAAAAGTTAAAAAAAAATTTGTAAACAACTTAGCTAAATTCAAAATTAAGAGGAAAATAAGGGAAAATATATATTCCAGATTTTTTCCGGATATTATACCCAAACAATATTCCGGATTTTTAAAATAAGACCTGGGATGATCTATGTATATTGGTGGTGTTATTCTTTTATCATAATTTTGTCATTTATTTCAAGTTTAGGTTTTACACCATTTTTTGTCAAGCATGTTGGTTAAGAATTTTTTAAGATTTAAGAATTTTCTCATTATTGAGATATGTAGAGGAAATTTCAATGGCACCAGATTTAAAACATTATTACTGAAATTTTGGATTAATATTTGAGTTTGGTTTTATTTGTGTATAAGTGTTAGTAGATTTTCAAAGATTTTGGATTTTTAGTAATTTTTACATTTAACTCATTGTCATGTGTTGCCATGATGATCATTCTATGATTTTTTCTTTTTTATTTAAGTTATACCTTCGAAAATTAATTTTTTTGTTGATAAAAAAAGCAACATTTAAAATTTTAATTTTTTGGTTGTTTGCCATATGAACAAATCTTTACGTTTAACATTATGTATTATCATAATAGAAAAGTATGTTTATGTGATTCACTCAACTCTAGCACATTTTTATTTTAACCAAGTTGCTTGATAGCATGTGACCCCAAGTGATCTAGTACCTTAAATTATAATCAAACAAAGTTAAATTTAAATATAATTTTTTTTTTTTCATTTTTTAATATTTTTTATTTCAGGTTAATGTACTTTTGTTGTTGTATCTAATGTGGATTGTTATTAGCAAGCTTAAAAGTGGCACTGGTACTGAATTTGAAAAATCAAGGTGAGTATATAGTGGTGAATACAATGAGGAAAAAAAAAGAATGTCACTACTATTTTTTTATAAAATTTTTCATTTTATCTTTCATTAAATATTTAAAAAATTTCTTGAAATTTAGGAGAGCTGCTCGAAGCTTTTTACTTATTGTATTTTTACTTGGTGGTGGTTATATTTTTGTAAGTACTGGACCAAATGACTGTATACCATTTGAATATATTCAAGTTATTCTTATTGCTCCTCAGGTTTGTTGTTTTATTACATACTTAAAAAGTTAATAATAATTATTAGTATTTCCATTTTAAAAAAATATGTTCCTTATTTAAAATTTCAAACAACATTTTTTTTTTCTCTAATTTTATATGACTTGTAAAATTAAGTTATGCACATTTTTCTTGATTTAGTTTTGACCTTTCAATTTAAACAAATTTTGTGAACATATATGTTCACAAACTTTGTTCACTTTTTGTTATACTTGAATGTTACTCATGATATAAATGTAGCATGATTGAAGTTTTTTGAAAGTAACGTAAGATTAATGAACATACATAGCGTAATTACATTACATTTAATAATTGTAATTTAAGTTTACACACACACACAAATGCACATTATTTTTCAAATAAGTATAAACTTCATTTGCTAGTTATTTTATTGTTCCTTTCTAATATTATCTTTATTTAGTTGTTTTTTTCTCTTTTATTTTTAACTTTTTTTAGCAGATTCTTTTTTGAAATTTTCAAATATTATCATTTAGTGAACCATAAAGTAGAACCACAATAATAATGTCAGTATTCATGTAGCTCTATTTCTTTAAACAATTTTTTCATGCTTTAGCTTTTTAAACAGTTCTAATATTCAAAAGAACTACCAGTGATTTACCTGTCTACATCATTATTGGCTCCAGACTAGGGTGTCAACCCCCCTTTCCCCCCCTCCCTCCTCCAAAAAAAAAAAAGGATAGTATTGTACTAATTTTAGGGTTCTTCTTGACTAAATGTGCTAGATGTAAAATTTTTGTTTTACGGTTTTAATGTTAAGCTGGCTCATCGTTAATAGAAAATACAAGTCTGTTATATTTTGAGCAATCAGAACAAGTCAATTAGTATAAATCATATGCATTAGCCACTATTTAAGCTTGGTAGTTTACATTTATAAATCAAAAAATACAAAAAAAGATGGAAAACATATTTTTTAACAAATAAAAGATTTTATTGTGGTAAAAAAATTCTCAAAAACTTTTTAGTACCTTCCGAAATCTTTTTTGTTCAAATTTTTTCTTGACTTTTAAACTAGAAAAAGGACATTTTTTAAGATGATCTTATCTCTAGTAGCAGCAAGAAAATCTTGAATTCATTATTGCCATCATTAACAATAGATATTTTTTTGATCTTTGCAATAAAATCTAGCTACTGAGAACGGTTAAACTAGTTTGGAGATCATTGGGTTATTCTTTTATACTTGCTCTTGATATGTTTAAATACTTAAAGAGAAGGTAGCTTTGCTCGGAAATTAGTTCAGGTAGCTCTGTGGTGTCTCTAATTTTTAGATTTGATGGTTTACAACAATGAAATTCCTCTGGCTCTTCAAACTCAAAGCTTGCAGCATTTGTAGCCTTGTTTTGACTGGAACTTCTTTATCCCCCAAGGACAAAACTCAGAGTGGAGATTTAAGTATCAGTTATGGTGTCCCATGCTCAGAAGCAAAGCATTTCCAACATTCTTATTAACCTTTCTCAAAGCATCGGCTGTCCGGATAGCTTTCAAATTATTGTTGGGAGCCTAGAACCCCAATTTGCATAAATTTTTCTCTTCATTAACTTTCTTGCAGGCTTCAGGCCACTTCTTTTTCAACTTGACATACAGACCTTTTCTTGGATCTTTAGTTTTCTCACCAGTTAGAGCAGCCATATAATGAGATACATCTACTTCATATCCTACACATTATCCTTAACATTGTAATTTTTAAAATATCTGTAAGAATTTGGATTGCTCCATTGACTCTGTCTGTATTGCTTACAGTTGTATCACAGCATATACCTATGATCTGCTCTCTTCATCCATAATATTCTAAAAGATTGTTCATTTGTTCTGCTTGGTCAATTTCCTTTGAACAGGGACATTGAACAACACCTAAAAAATAGTCTTTCACTGAGTTGTCACCTAGGGATCTTATTGAGACTGCAAGCCACTCAATTAATTGAATAATGTTAAGCCCTGGGGTAATCTATCCAACAGTTTAGTATCAAAATGATGTATAAATTGCTGACCTTTAAGATTATTTTTTACTGAAATCCAATAAAAATCTCCTTCATGTTCTACATATTTAAACTTCTTTCTATGAAGTTCTCTCTATGAAGTTCTCTCTATGAAGTTCTCTCAATGAAGTTCTCTCTATGAAGTTCTCTCTATGAAGTTCTCTCTATGAAGCTTCTCTCTATGAAATTCTCTTTATGAAGCTCTCTCTATGAACTTCTCTCTATGAATCTTCTATCTATGAAGTTCTCTCTATGAAGTTCTCTCTATAAAGTTCTCTCTATGAAGTTCTCTCTATGAAGCTTCAAGATAATGGTATATCATCCATTTCTACACCTCCAGCTTCAAAAACTTCACCTAAAGTTCTTAATTGATAATATTTTTCTATCTATTTATAATTATTTACTTTTCAACAAAACATTTTTATTTTTTAAAAATTACTACTTTGTTATTGAAATTAAACTTTTGTTTCTTACTGTTACCTAATCTTCTTCCTCACTGATTTCAAAATCCTCATTTAAGTTTTCTTTCTCACTTCCTGAAGTCACTTCGAATCTGGCAAAAAATCTCAATACTCATTTGTTTCTCTAAAAATTATTATTTAATGAACTTTCTTTATATCATCTAGCTTTGAATTATTGGTTTTCATTCGATCAGAAAGAATATCATTTTCAAAGCTCTTAGTGGAGATGCCAAAAAGCCGATAGAGTTTTGTGAAGAAATTTTTCTCTAACTTCGATTTTTTATCAAGACAAGTTATTTCATTGTTTTAATAGTTGTCCCAGACAATTTAATCAGTTTTTTGTATTTTAAATTAAGTTTGATGATTTTGGCCTTGATGTTGAACCCTAAAATCATAAACTTCTTGCCAAACCAAGCATTATCCCTACTTTTTTAAAATCCTATACAGGCGTAGATGCAGCATTTTTTTTTGTTTAAAATATACCTAACTTCCAGACATGGAGCAAACTCAAAAAATTTATATTTTTATACTTGTATTAAATAAGTATGCTTCACAAAAAATTGTAATGATTAGAGCCTGTGAACAAAAAAGCCTTAAAATTTTAGCTACACTTGCCCTAAATGTGAGAGCAATAAATTGATAAAATAACTTTTATACTATTCTTAACTAAATCTAAATTCATCGATATATTTTAAATTCACGCAATAATCTTTAAGCATTCAAAAACTATGACCATAAAAAGTTTGAACCCCCCTTAATTTTAGGGGGCTGCCACAATTGTTATACTAAAGAGATTATTGTGTGAGTTACAAAATTTATCGAAGAGTATATAGTCATTTTGCCAACCATACTTATCTGCTTTTTCAAATATTTGTAAACCATTTTCTGAAAGAATAGGCTGAGTTTCATTTTTAGCCAGTTGACTCAGAGTTGGTTTGAAATACCCCTTTACACTTACTCTCTCTAGTTTCTTTTGCTTTCACTAGAGTAACAGGCCTGGAAAAATTAATGGAGTTAGGAGTTGGATTAGTCCAGATAATTTGTTCCCTATAAGCCTGCATCTTGAAGATCAGAAAACTGATGACAACAGTTGTGATTTCCATAAACCATAAAGTCCAAATTTACCCTCTACATGTATAGAATGATTTTCAGTACAAAACCCAGATATATCAAGCAGAGACTCAACAGAATCTTTAATAACATCGTTCACAGGGGATGAAGTTTGCTTACTGTCACTCCTTAATTCCTTTGGTAGCAAAGTACATTTAAAGGTATCTACATCATTTCTTGTCGGCAACTTTAGTTTTGGGAAAAGCTCAAGTCTCAGCTCCTGAGGAAATATAAAAAAATTAAACAATTATAAAAACAATTAATTGCAATAGTATTTAATTGCATACTTTACCTAATATTTATTTATAGATAGATCCAAGTTGTAAAAAAAAGCAGTTGCTTCCTGTACTGATACTGTTGGAAGTTTTACTCCTTCCTCCTTTCGCCATCTTTTTTCACATCTTTAGTCAACTTCTTTTTAGTATTTTGACTTATCTACTCCCTGTTCTTTTGCATGTTTTTCCATAAAATCATCTGGAATTTTATTGTAGGTACGTTTTTCAGGTTGATCACTGACTTAAATGATAATGTATTATGAAAATTAAAAAAATAGTTACTGGGTGTCTCAAATAAAATGATGCTTAAGAAATTTAAATAAATGTCAACAGCTAAATTTTTACAATAGTCTTTTGGATTTCCGTACTCTTTTTAGCTTTTAGAAGGAGAGGGAGCTTGTGGAGCTCCCTCTTCTTCTACACGAGGGGAGGATGATGATGCTGTTGCAGGTAGATTTCCAGGCAGTTTTATTCCAACTTTGTTTCTTCAAGTTTCCATTTCGGCCACAAGTTTATTTTGTTTCAACTTTGAATATTTTTTTACGTCTTTTAATTTGCTTTAAAATTTTCTTTTTCATCTTCTAAAGTTAGATTATGTCTCACTTTGATTGTTTTATAAAATTTTGATTTTTCTAATGAACATAATTCGATGTTCAAGGTTAGTATAATTTTTTTTAATTCTCCTTTTTTTACCAATAACAATTTGTCACATGTTATCAACAGGAATTCCTGAATTGTCTGTGAAAGTTGATTTTCATGATTACGCAACCTCGAATATTAACTTGTACGAACAATTAAAATTCAAACTTATTCAAAATTACTCAATTTTATGGATAACCTTACTGTGGAATTTTTAAATATAAAAATAGAAAATCTATATTGTGTCACACAATATTGACTTTCTGAATTGAAAATGAATTACTTGAAGAAAAATAAAAATTGCAATTTAAACATTTGTTTTGTGCAGTTTTGTTTAAACCTAAAAAAAAATCTAAATTATATGAAAATATATTTAATTGATTAAAAACAAAATAACGAGAAAAAAAAAAGGTTGCAGGAGTCCGCAAATAAGCTCAAATGCTTCACACAATTTGTGTGAAACCTTTGACCTTTTTTTTTCCAGTTATTTTTTTTTTAATCAA